TAAAAAAAAACTATAAATAAATTATAAATTTTGAATTTTACTTTTTTAATTATGAACGGATCATGTTTCTGTCAGTATTAATAAAGTGCAATAATTTGTTTCAAAAGTAATAGTGTTTTTTTATAAAATTTATTGATATCGGCGACTTTATTTAATACATGCATATATGCATATATTGTATATAAAATTGTATATACATATATGTATGCGTATGTGTGCATATGTATACAGGGTGAGTCAGTTAAAGTGTAAATTTATACCTCAGAAGCAAAGAATTTTAGAGAAAAATATTTTATATACAAAAGTTTTGTGACTATAAGAGGAATATAAAGTAATGTCTTGATTTAACCTTGAACATCTAGTTTAAAAATCATAAAAGATATCTTCAATTTTTTAAAGGAACTTCATTTCTTATTGCATATTTTTGAAGCTTATCTCAAAAACTTTTCAAAACATTATCCTAAAGTATTTTTTTATTAAATAGTTGTCAAATTATAAAGCTTGTTATAATTATTATTGTTATTAAAATGAATTATAATTACATAAATGTCAGTTGTGCTTTTCGTTTTGTTATCGGAATCTTTGATATCCAGAGACACGGTAGTAGTAGCTTACCTTAGCTTGGCGCTAAGGAAATACGTAGCGCGAGACACTGTTTTTATCACTTTACCATGACTTGTGGAGTTTTTATTTTGGTTTTCATTGCTATGGTTCCGCGTATGATTGCAATTATGCCTTATCTTTACTGTGATTAGTATTTTCTTCTTTTACATTATTACTGCCATTTCTTACTTAACCCCCTTTTAGATAGCCCATTCTTATCGTGGTTGTTGCTATCCTCTCTTTTTATACTTCCATTCTTTGTCGCAGTTTCTATTTTTTTTAAATATCTTTGCTTATTATTTTTACTGTGACATCCGTAATATTACAACGTTTTTTCTTCATTTTACATGCCTAGTGTTTTTATTTCCTTTCAGTTTACGATATTATTTCCTTTTTCGATATATTTCTCTATATTACAAATTATATAGATGTACGAGTATGCGAATCAATTGATCACAAAAACAAAATAAAAACTAAAATTTTATATTATTTTACTTTTAATGTAATAGAAGTATATTTTATTAGATAGACAAAAATATATACATACATAAATAAATAATAATTTACTACATTATGTATTTATTATAAATTAACCATTATTTTTACATAAGGTAAATCAGATAAAGATGTCATAGTTAAATTTGGATTGCAATATTTTTTTAACTATTATTGATAAAAGAATATAGAACTAATGAAAAGTTTAATTAGTTTTATTTATTATGATTGAGTTACATAAATGTATCTCATAAGACTTTTATGTCGCAATAAAAAAATAAAAACCATACAAAGTAGCATCTTACCTAAAAATTAACAATTGAAAATAAACACGAACAACGAATGTCATATCGTTGCTGGCTTACAAATAAACAAACCGAGCGCGCCACTAATGCTATCTAAGAATAAACATGAAAAGTATTAACAAATAGCATCTTACCCCAACACGACTAGAAAAAATATTATCAGAAATTTTTATATCAAAAACATATGCTGTCATATAAGAGGTTAAAAAATTCTCTTGATACTAAATTTCAATGTAATCTACTGCATGTTTGTGAAATAAAGTCTACAAATGATTAATGTGAATTTTAAGTTTTATGTAAAATGTTAACAAAACAGTACTTTCTCAATTTACTTCGATAAATTCACAATCTTTGAAAACAAACAGTGAATGTTATATCGTCGCTTGCAAATGAACAAACCGAGCGTGCTACTTATCTAAGAATAAATATGGAAAATATTAACAAATGGCATCTTACCTGACATGGCATCTTCCCCCGACTTACCCTACTTAAATTACAAAATTGTTAAGAGAGCTGAGAATAATTTTAAGTTGGACCTTTTTATAAAATGTTACTTGGATTGCATGGGAAAGAATAAGAAAACTTTATGTAAAATATTTCTTCGGAAAATGTTTCTAAAGTTATAAACTCTAAAGTTGAATGTATTCAAACTGATAATAAAATCATAAATTAAATAAAATCTTAACATGTCTTTTCTTTTTATTTTATTAAATATACCTTTAGTCAATGAGAATTATTACAACTTGTGCACACAGTCCATGTTAATAAATGACAATAAGTATCAATTTCTTGCTATTGCATGTACTGCATATGTAAGCAAAACAAATTTTTTGACGAGTCTTATTAATGCATTATTCATGTTAACAGTGCACACAGACAAAATTATGCGTCAGCATATTTATTTCCTATGCTATCTGCATAGTTTTGTGACAGTTAAGACGTTACGACTCTAATATACATATATATAATACGATGAGCAAAAATGTATTCTAATACATTGTATTGTACATCGCAATTAGCTGCTTTACGATTAAAATTAAATGAACAATAATTTCTTGTTTATAATCTGTTTTTAATCGTTCAACCTATTTCCTACATTCTTTTACAAATATCATCAAAAATATTTAACTAGTAGTTTTAGTAGTTTTAACTAGTTTTATATAATATTTAACTAGTTTTAGCAGTTTAATAAACTTTCTGTTATTAATATTATTATAATTATTACAAAAGCTCTTATAATTGCCGTTGATTTATTAAAATACTGATGACTGTATTTATCTTCAATGCTATTTCGCCAATGCGGTATGAGACGAATATGTATAGAAGTGCGAATAAAATGTGGTTTTTCTTGTTTGAATTTAAAAAATGGATTTTTGGAACATGATTATATCAATTGTTGTTTTCGGCGTAAAATATTCTTTCACTTGTGTCCTTAATAAAAATTTAAAATTTTTAAGAATTAAAAATGGAGTGAGTATACTGAAAGATATAGAGGAAAGGCCCCTATTATGAGATACCGAATTTATTTTGGATAAATGCTAGAAGTCTATAGGCTGAATTTATAAAAATAATAGGTCATTTTGAAGGGAATTTAATAAGCTTTAAGATAACGTTATATAAAATTTAATTCAAATTCCATTTTTTTTTGAAAATTAAAGAAATGTAAAAAGTGAGCAAATGCAAAGTAAAAAAATTGTGCTTCTAATATGAGATGCTCCGAGAAATCGATAATAAAACGCAAAGTATGTACATCAGTATTGCAAAAAAATCATATGATTATTCTTATCTAATAAGTTATTATAAATTAAAAACCTATCTATACAAAACTATTCTATCTATATTTACAGATTCTATGACACACACATTGATGTGTATTTGAGTCCAAAACACTTTTTAGATTTATTTTCAACACATACAATCTTATAAATTTATTTTTGATGGTAAAACTTTTTAATTGTCGCTTGTTGTACTTGTATTTTGAGCTGACGATATCGTTCGTGATTATTGTGGAATTCTTTATATTATTTTAACATTATTTCTAGTTCAACGACAATAAGCGCGTTTATTTTTCCGTCATTCTTATTTTAGATAACAATTTGAATAAGTAAAAAAGAAAAACCAAAAAATAATTCGTCTCTTAGCACTTATATATTAATGTAATTATATCAGAGAGCATATGTATTAAAAAATATATTATTTGAACAAAAAAAATCCTAATAACAAAGTCATTATTAGATAATTAATTATGCATGTATTATACATAATATTATGTTAAAATGTTAATATGGAATATTTGAAATAATTTCATAAGAATCTTATTGCTCAATATTCTATTTATTAGAAGTGCAAAATATGTACGCAATACTTGCCGACTTAAAAATTAAATGTGTTTAAAAAGAGATACAATGCATTCCAGTCATATGTATAATAGTAATAATGATAATATAATTTAATAAATAAAATGTTTTATAACAATGCATTACGATGTCGATAATAGAAGTTATCCTTCCTGTAAGAAAATAAACTCATATACAAAACTCTAGAAATTATTAAAATATTTCTAAAGATCCATTATAATGTAACGTTTAATATTCGGAAATATTCATAACTTACATAGTGCGTATTTCATTTTTCTTTTTACATTCTACAAAGACCGTCTAAACTTAAACTTGCTAGTACTGGTTGTAGTAAAGGACATAAAAATTGCTGCAACATTCAAAGAAATTCTTTATAAATAATGATAAATGATTTTTATTCAATTCTATTATTATTATAAGCATTACACAATCTTATTCATTTATTTATTTTTATAATGTTTAATTAAAAGTATTAATTTTAATAAACTATTAGTGAAATTTTATAATTATTAAGATACTTTTAAACTTCTAAAGTTTTTTATGGTATTAATTTCTGTATTCATACCGAAAAAAAAAATTTTAAACGTAACCTTCAAAGAAAAAAAATAGACTTTTAATACATATATTTAATACATAGGACAATCATGAATTATCCAGAAAATATTAATTAATTAATATTTTTGAGACTTCCAGGGATGCTTTCTATATAAAGTTTGGGCTTTTTTTCGTGTTTAGATCCATTATTGGATTGGTTGGAGATAACCACATTTATAATATCTCTACTCATCTTTATCCAGTGGGGAAGTTTGAGACCTTTGAATTCTTTAAGCTGATAATATAATAAATTCTTTTTAATCATATGTACTTTTTTATCTTTTTTTCGTATATGTATTTCTTGTATTCTAATAATAAATATAATTTTTTGTGTAATTTTTTCTTTTTACATAATCCTTACCAAAAGCGTTGTTACTAAGGGTATACCGCCACCGCCTGGTGGCGATGCTGGTCCACCACCTGGTGGCGATGCTGGTCCACCACCTGGTGGCGATGGTGATTCACCGCCTGGTGGTGATGGTGGTCCACCGCCTGGTGGTGATGGTGGTCCACCGCCTGGTGGTGATGGTGGTCCACCGCCTGGTGGTGATTGTGGTCCACCGCCTGCACCATTGTCAGGACCATTGCCACCACCATCACCATGAGAGGAGTCAGGAGGTTTTGAATGAGGTGGTACTTTGTTTCGATCAAGAGCCTAATAATTTAAAAAAAAAAAGTAGAAAATTAAATAAAAAAAAGTTTAATAATAGTTAATTTAGCTGATAATTTCAAGTACAAAACTTATCAAGTTTGTTAAATAAATAATAAACTATAATAAATAAGTTCTGCTCTAACATTTCCGCTGTGTAGATAAAGCATCTAGAATTATTCAGTATCTCAATATATAAAAATATTCGGAGAAAAAGTACCATTACAAGTTTCGGCTGCCGGATTGAGCCCTCTTCAAATGTTAAATAAAATAGAATAAAAAATAGTAAAAAATAAATAAATATAAATAAATAATTCTTGTCGCAACAATCATAGAGCGCGAAAATGTGCAGTTCGGTAGGGTCTAGACGTAGAGCACAATATTATTCATACGAATGAGCAGTCAAAATGATGTAAAGTCTCATAGCCAAGTTTTATACCTTCTTTACTTATACAGATACATCAGTTCTCATTGACTTACTCATGTTTGTTTGCACATTTTCGCGCTCTATGATTGTTGTGACAAGAATTATTTATTTATATTTATTTATTTTTTTACTATTTTTTATTCTATTCACTTTGTTTAACATCTGAAGAGGGCTCAATC